TAAAATCACTAGATTAACAAAGTACCGCGATGAGAAAAACGGAAGTGACGTATCTTTGGAGTCAAAATAGCGTGGATGTTATAACCTATATGCGTTTGTGACATTGTGTAGATGAACTGGTTAGAAAACGTCGAAAATGCCCGGTTGCTGTATTGAGAATTGCAAAAACCGCAGCGAAAAAGGCTTCCGTTTATGATTTTAATTATTAACTCATATTTTTTTCATAGTTTATATTTTATATTATATAAGAGTTCCTTTCTTTTATGTTTTTTAAAACAAATAAAAATTGCAAAGAAAATTGATATATCTAATTTACCATTTTACTTTATAAGAGGAGTTCCCCTATTACCGGACGGCACCTAATACATAAAACTCGTCTTAATACATAATATATATTCATACATAAGTTTGAAATAACCGCGTCATGGAGCCAAAATGGCGGCAGTTCGCGGTACTTTGTTAATCTAGTGACTTTACACGGAACATTTTTCGGGACCACTTTCAATCTACACAGTTATGTCTCCTTAGTCTTACTTCATGGTTACCGCGTCACATCCTGCATCGAATTTGGCATCACTGCAGTTCGATGGAAACTGGTGAAAATTAGACCACTGTCTACCACGCCATTTTTATTTATATATGTATGGATATGGATGGAGTAATGAAATAGATCGGATTGATTGGGTCGTGTAAATTTGTTCAGACAGATTTGTTCGACAAATCCGTAATAGTCGAGACTGTCGAGAGTTGGTTAAAAGATGTGTCGCTTTGCAATATGTGTGTGACGCGAACCATCGGTGTATGCAACGGGCGACATTTTCGTGAATATTTGATGTGAGAGCTGTTCACGCAACGCTCGATCGCGGTCCGTGTGGTCTAGTGTGGTGTTAACCGTGAACCGCCTGCAACGTTCTTCCCAGTACTTTTATCATTAAAATGGACCACCGCCAAAAGGTAAGCCAACAAAAGCAGTTCGAATGTATAACGAACGACGCGTCTGAAAAAACGATATTTTTCTCGTTTGTCAATGGATCTTCGGAGAAAATTTAATTAAGCACTTCGACAAGGCATTGACAAAACCTAATAGCGAATTCGGTCGATGCATATTAAAAGCTGCTTTACAGAAATTAACAAAGTTAAATGTAAAAGTATATAAATATTTTAAACGATTATATTTTAAACTATCTACTAATGATATTGTCACGCTATTTAATAAAATATATATGTATCATTTCATTGTCAAAGTTGATTATATTGTATCACTGCATTGAGATATTTTATGTAAAGCGGCTTTCAATATGCTACACTGATCCGGTGTAGTGCGAGTGATCGAATTCATCATACTGTCGTACAACACGATAGAGATTTATTTATCAGCAAGAATTACAAGAATTATTCGCATATTTGCGACAACCTGTCTGTCCGCGCGTGCTTCTCATAGAGTTGTCAACGCTACAAAAACCTAATGTTATTTTGTATTGTCTCTTTCTTGTTGTGATCTATTGTTTATAGGTTTATTCTTTGTAGCTGAATTAGTATAATATACACTTGTACTTAAGATGAAATAAATATATAGGATGTATACTAAGTATTAGGGGGTTGAGTAGTAATTAGTTAATAAATTAAAAGTTAAATGAAAAGTTCAAAAGTTAAAAACTTTTAACTTAATTTAGTTAATTTTAAATAAATTAATTTTTAATTTAGTTACTTTTAAACTTTAATCTATTAACTTTTTTCATTTTGAATTGAAGTTTTTCTATTTTTTTAAATATTAATGTTATTTTCTATAAGATATTAAACATTAGAGAATTAGATTAATTAATTAGAAAAAGCTCAATGATTGTGTGATGGGTACAGCTTTTGTAGTATCCAGAGATAATGGATTGGATCTGCATTTAAGAAACACTATCAGTGCTATGACATGGCCAACACAAAGAGGAATACATTATTACGTACATTTTTAAAAATTACATCTAATTTTTTTTTATATAAATATCCAAATATGAAAATACGTTTGTAAAAGTACTAAAAATCAGTTTTTTATTATGTAAGAAATAATTCTTGTAATTTCATGTAATTTACGAATAAAATATTAAATTCATTTGATAATCTATATCGTAACTGCTTTATTATTTAAAGTAATTTGATTTTAAGAAAAATTAGAATATATTTATATTTAATAAAAATATTTTTCAAAATAAATTATTTAACTTGAATTAATTCAATCTTAATGTAACTTCAACTGTAGTTTTTTATTTATTCAACTTTTAATTTAACTAAATTAATTTTATAAGCCATTAACTTTAACTTAATTCAATTTAAAAAAAAAAGCATTGACTTACTCAACCCTAAGTATGCTAAAAGATTTTAAGAGGTGATTCCTCACATAAATTCAAGGCGAAAACTTCATATGACCATACAAAACAGCTCAGTTTTTTTTTTTAGAGAAGATCGGCTTATTAGCTGCCCTTGATTGAATAAAAAAATAATCCCAATAGATATGTGTGAGATAGTGCTAATAAATGAGATTTTATGTCCTTCAAATACATACAAAGTTTCATCGTAATAACTCAAATAGTTTTAGAAATTTTGTAAAAAACGAAATTTTTTTTCAACTTTGACATCCTATATCTTTGAAATTAAACCGTTTCGGACATATGGAGTTTTTGTCTTGAATTTGTGTGAGGAATCTCCCTTTAACATCTGTTAGTATATTTAAGTACACCCTATATATCTAGATTTTGACGAAAGCGAGATAGAATACTTTTCATTTGATGACATAAGTCGGCACAAGCATCATTCTATCTTTCTTGATATTCACTGAGTAACAAAAATAAAACGACAATTATGTCGATTTGTGTCACCAAATTAAAAAGCATCTATAGAAAATTTTAGTTGAGTCCAACGCGACAAAGAATAGATCTTATGTCTCATGTCAAGTTTCATCTATTATTTTACTTTACCAGATGATTGTAATTCCTCAACAATCAAAAGTCAAAGTCGAGGATGATGATGACGAAGATGTGGAAGCACTGAGATTAGCAGCGCTTAAGTCGTTACGAACAAAAAATGCCATGCATAAACGGTTAGCGCTATCGCAGGTGCAAAAAGTATTACCACAAATAACACAATCATCTCGTTTTCCATATAAAAATCAACGATCTATGAAAAAAAATTACTATCATAACAGGGTGCAACAAAGGCAAAATGGCGTAAGCTTTCAATTTATATATTATTTAATTAATCATAACAGTAATTTTATATGTAAATATTAAACACTATCATATTTTACAATGTATTAAAATATATTTGAATAATTTTTTTAAGAAGCTTTCAAAATGTGTTTAAAATTTATATGATAATTTGTAAGTTTCTGATTCAATATCTTCAGTTTGTACATTTGTATTTTATATTTGCAGAATGTGTATTATCAGAGCCATCGTAATCCGAACTTGATAGCAATAGTTCCTGTAGATGAACCTTCTCCACTTCAACAAGTCCAATTAGCTTGTCCCCTAGAAAAGACTGAGTCTTGTCTAGAATCGTGTCCTCAAGGTAAGCTTATATTTTTATGCAAAATGAATAATACTAAATATATCAATAATAATGTGTTTTTTTTTGTAAGAATAAAATAATTATGTAATTGTATGTATAATTTTAGAAGTATCAAAATTCCATCGTTTTAAAGATAGTGGGAGTGCTTCTGAAGAAGAAGATGTAAAGGAGCAGAAAAGTCTTGCGACCTCTATAAAGACAGAAATTATATCAAAAGAAGAATCTGTTGAATTTTCAGTAGAGGTGGAAAATCAGGAGGAAACTACAGAGAATCTACAGAAGAATGGTGATGAGCAAGAAGAAGATGGCAATGATGATGATGATGTCCTCTTAATGGCTGATCTTGAAGAAGAAGACAGTTTAGAACGCTTAATGGATGAGATGGAAAGGGAAATGAATGATGAAAATAAGGTATCTGAAAAAGGAGAGAAAAAATTGCATAAAGTTTGCGAAACTAAAAACACAGTGAAAAGTGATGAAGGAAGTAAAAATTTAGATCAGAAGACAAAATTAGACGATAACTATGGTAAGAAGGAA